TGGCTTTTTTTTTTTGCTCTTTTTCTGAGAAAACGTCTTTAGCAGTGCTCTGTACATGAACTGGATTCAAGGCCCGAAACATCTGCTGTATACCTCTTCCAATCATGCTAATCTCCGTTACTGGGTTTTTTTGTTTTTCTGGTTTGGCTGTCAGCACGAATCTCCTCTGTCTCGTCCTCTCACTCCTGCTGTCCTCCCTCCATCTTTACCTCAGTGTTGCTGCTTTTGCCTGTTTGTCTGTCGTGAAGTGGAAAAAGGAGTGGGCTGGGTGGTGGTGGTGGTGTTGTAGCTCGCTGTAGGCCACTCGAGGCTTCGGGACAGATTCCCTCAGCGCTGACAAAGACGCTAACAATAGCTGTCAGAGTGTAACTCTGCCCCGTCCGTGTCATCCAAGGGGAAACCTGTTTACCTCCGCCTGCACCGGCTGCATGCATATGTTCAGAGAGGACATGTAGAGGGAGGAGGAGGAGGAAGGGGTGAGGTCACAAGAAGGGAATCTAACCAAAAACGCTCCCCAGGGAGAAGCAGTTAGTTAGCGCGATGCTTGTTATAGCTGTCATTTCTCCGGCTCTCCGTGTGACACGCTGCGTTACGTAACAGTGAACCGGTCACACAACACGCTGCAAACAGGTCGGCTTTAAATAAGAAAGGCCTGTTGTGAGCTGCTTTTATTTACAGGACACATCCCTGAATCACAGCATCCCCGTACTCTGTCTGTGAGCTCGTTAGGTCTTAGAAACTGTAGGCAGCGCTCGAGTATGTCCAGTCTGCAAATAAAACTGAGAAAACATTTCATAAGGACTCAGTCGACTTATAGGTTCTGAAAACAACTGATCGGACCAGCTGTTTGTCTCTGTGAGACTACATTTCAGCATCCTGACTTACATGGAAATGATCTGAACAGCCATGGAAAAAAGTCCAGGACTGATGATCCAGAGGGCAGCTAATAAAACTAACCTCTCATCAGTAATCTGAGAGGACACTGGCAAGTTACAATGATGAAATACAAGGAAAATCTGCATTAAGCAGGACCTCCTTAAATGTAATAAAGTGCTGATATAAACTGGTTTTAATGTTTCCTGCCGTCACAGGTCTCTCATCGATGCCTTTGTGTATATTAAATTACAGATTTATTAAATGTGAATGAGGTCTGATTAAAGTGAGTCTGTTTTGGATGCACTGAAGGTCCAGCGGTGTCCAAACAACTGCAGGGAGCAGCAGTTGCTGCCACCTGCAGGCCGACAGAGGTGCTGCGTGATGTTGGCTTTGCAGCCTGTTTATGACCTCAAACCATGAAGTGAAGTCCAGGATTGATCAAAACAGACACAGATGGACAGCAGCAGGATAAATTGCATCTCTCCTCATTTTGTAGTTTGAAACTTTTCTGCTGTAAAAACGTTGGCATTCTTATTTTCTCCTGGATATTTGGGATTAGTTGGATCTGACGAGTATGAAAACTCATCTTTATCCTTAAACAGGAAGTTGTTACATACTTTCTTTTTTAATTATGTTCTCATATGAAGATGTAAAACACACAGCTGAGCTGAATGAAGGTGCAGGAAAGCCTCAATGTGAAGCTCCAGAGTCTCAGGAGGTTTAGATAAGAGTGGCCTGATGATTTAGGACTTTATATAGAAAAACTCAGTGATGGATTTAACAGGGAGCCAATGAAGAGAAGCCAGTATAGGAGAAATATGCTCTCTCTTTCCTGTTAAAATCTGTTTGGGAGTTGCAAAAAGGCAGAAGAGTCTATGAAGTGTTAGTTAGTAATAAAGAGTTGGACATGAACTGAATCTAAACACCAACCTTGATGGTTCACGCATCCCCTGTTTGAAGTTCAAAGGTTAAAGCAAACTGAACTTAAGATCAGCCTCTTCATGGGTGTAGTGCATTTTCTGGTTGCTGTCATAAAGTCTCTAAAAAGACCTTAAAACATATTTTATTCCAAGCAAAACATCAGGACCAAGGAGCTCATTGGGCTCAAGATCCATCACAGGTTTCTGTGAAGCACATTTTCATTTAAGGTTTTCTTGTCATTGATTGGTTGTTTTGCACAAACAAACGAGAATTAAAATAAATAGTAAGACTGATTTGACCTTGACATTGACCTTGATTATAGTTTATCCGATCCTCGTGTGTATGTTTGATTAAATTCTGACCAGAGGAGTGATCCCTGGGAGCCCATCACTCCTTCAACTGGACGAGCTAAAAATCTGCTGACTTGGAATACACTGGAGTTTGTTTTTACACTACATGCTCTGCTCAGATATCTGTGACATTCATTACATCATCACCCAACAAAACGCCCATTCTGTGCATTTCATCCACCATAACTAACTAATTATGACAAAACCATCAGCCCATGTCACTGTAAAACATGATAAGCTGGCTCTACTTGAATTTGAATTATGCTAATTATTTTCCTAAAAATAGTAATGTTAACTTGATGGTGAGTAACACCAGCTTTACAGTGTACAGCTCCGAAGAAGGATGAACCTAAGAGTAGATCAGTGTTGAAAAAGGTCAAATTTTAAGTTAAAAGCACTTCATAAAACCTAAACCTAACCTAAATTGTAGATTCTTCTCAGAAATTAAACTCAACATTTACATTATGCATTTAACTGCAGAGATGCAACTGTTTGTGCCCCATTACTCACACTGTCCCAGGAACCCTGCTGTTATCCAGTTGGAACAACAGTCTCAGTTAGGGATGGGTATCGTTTAGGTTTTATCCGATACCGGTGCCAAATCGGTACTTTTGAAACGGTGCCGGTGCTCAAACGGTGCTCAAACCGGTGCTTAAAGAATGGAGAGCACAAAATTGGTCCAAAAACCTCTCATGTTCAGCTGTTTTTTTGTAAAAAGATAACAATGTTAGCCTTTTCTGCAGCTATAGGGCATATATGGTATCACTCTTGGCTGGAAGCAGTGCTTAATCAATGGAAAAAACACAAACTTTATCCAAAACCTCTCATGTTTAACTGTTTCCCACTTTTTCTTTGGTCATTTTAGCCTTTTTGGCCAGGGTGAAGGGAGTACCTGCCATCAAACAAGAGGACAGCCGCATGTAGCTATGATGATGTTTGCTAGTTCACCTTACATGCATTATTGTAATAACGTGGTTAGCCTACTCAACGTAAATTACACACGAACAACATTAAGCTACTCACGCAGAGAAGAACGGCTGCTGCTGCATCATCACCCTCATCATTTCTGCTACACTGGCAGGGCTAGGGGCCAGGACTCTCCTCTTCGGGGGTTTTTGGGGGATGATGCTAACTCCGGGTCAGATAACAGGCAACCCACCCGCAGTAGATGTGCTCGGTGTGAGGTCTTGCAGCAAGCTATCAAATACGGCGCATTTCTGGGCTTTTTAAAAAAAACGCTATGCGTCGCCAGGTGTTTCATCAGATTTGAGGTGTTACCTCCTTTGACAGTATCACAGTATCAGCTTAAAGCACTTGTTGCAGGCTGCTGAGTTTGCATATTTTGCTGTGAAGTACAGCCAGACTTTGACCGCTTCGCCTTGGACATTTTTAATCTGTAGCTCTGCTCTAAAAGAACGTACGTACCTGGCCCCGCCTACTATCCTCGGAAACGTAAAATTATTGGCTAGAATCTAAAGTGTATCACAGCTCAGGAAAAAAAAAAGCACCGAAATAAAGCACCGAAATGTGCGCTGCTTTTCGGTCTGGTTACTACCGTTTATGTCAGAACCGGTGCCATCATGGCACCGGACACCGGTACCCATCCCTAGTCTCAGTCATGGTGGCCTGGTAACTACTGAGACAGCACATGCATGCACACACACATACACAGCAATCAAGATCCAAACACAGAATAACTGAAATAAGGATGACAACATTGAACACTTAAAGAAAAACTCTTTTTTGTAAAACTAAGCTTACCTGTACTGCCTGTATTTACATGATGTACACATTAAATAATTCTCAGTGTATTTAGGGATAATGGTGGTGCTGTTTGTCACTGATCTGTGATGCAGTGTTCTGTTTTAACACACAAAAAATAAGTAAACTAAAATCTTCTTTGTTTTTGTGGTGATTCTACATGTGTTTTTTTTTTTTTACTTATTCTGAGCAGGTTTTAAGTATCGTATGATTGTTTTGTAGTTTTTTCCCTTGGTCCTCAGTTTTTACCTTACATCTCCTTGAAATCATTTTGTGTTTCTTTGTCATCAAACTCGAGTCATTTCTTTATCTCCTTGCGGCTGTTGTTGTCACTCTGGAGTTTTTTGTGTGTCTTTATTGGTGTTTTGCATTTTCATGCTCGTTTTGTCTCTGACTGCAGTCATTTTGAAGTCAGATTAAATGATTTTCTGGCTGTTTGGAATCTGTTTGTCATGATTTTTAAATCAAAGATCAGTTTCCTTCTTGAGCTCTGACTCAAAGCCACGAGGAGGTAACAAGACTGCAGGCAGTCAGTGTAATGTGTAAACTGAACCTAAAGAGCAGCCTGACCAACAGCCGAAGCACACTGTGTTTTATCTCTGTATACTTCACGGTGCCGTTGCCTGTGAATGATAGTTTTTCTTTACTTCAGACTTTTTGCAGTCTTTGTGCAGATTTCCTTCTGTTTGTCTTTACAGAATAATTGCTGGGAAAACTGTATTAATTATGAGTAGCTGGCATCTCTCCCTGTTTTAGCAGCAAATTTTACTTGCAGTGTCAGTTCTGCTTAAAGAAATAAACCCATACAGAGTCATCATCACCTCTGCAGCTCCGAGGAGATTCTGTGGCCTTATAAAGCAGCAAACACAAGACCCAGTCAGAGAGGAGCAGCTGCACAGGGAGCATTTACAGCCACATATGGTGGTTCTGTTTGGTTTGCTCTCCTGCCACTGGGTGGCCAAAATAAGACAATGCACCCTGTTTCTGATTCCAAGGAATACCTCAAAGCAGCCTAGCCAATACCAGACAGGTGTGTGTGTGTGTGTGTGTGTGTGTGTGTGAGAGAGAGAGAGAGAGAGAACTTCTTCTCACCTTTGTTTGGAGTCTGATCGTCCATCCGTCCATGAATCCATCCTTCACTCAGATAATAATCCATTAGACGTTCACAGTGAAAACATCTCCTGGGATATTTTTTTTTCTTTTCTGTTTTATTCCATCAGGTCATTTAAAAACTCCTTTTTTTGTTTCCAGGTCCATTTTATGGTCCATCCTGGAGTCCAGGTGAGTACAGGTGAGCTGTTTTTACATCCAGAGAGTCCTTGATCTCCGACTGGGACCCCACAGGCTCCAACACGGACTTTAATAATTACCTGTGACACATGTCTGCTCAGTAAGCATATTGGCTATCAGCCTAATACCGTTATCACAGGGTATGGAAGAAAAAAGGTGCCAAAATAATTTAAATTGCATATGTGAAGCTGGCGTTACAATCTTGCTGCATCTAAATACTTTATTTTGAAAAGCTTCTCAGTGTATGTGGTTTAAATTCCCCTTTAATTTTAGTTTCCTTACTGGAAACACAAGTTTTGATAATTTTTTAATAAATTTTAAGAAATAGCCATGAAATTGTGACTCTTTGTGCTTCAGTTTTTTCTGGGGTCACATTATTTCCATTAAAGTGCTAAAATGTAATAAAAATGTATTAATCGCTGTTTTACATTCATGCAAGTTAATTTTTTGTTTTCATTTGGCTTTAATTTTATGTGTTGAAATTAAGCAACTTAATATATATGTTAATATATATTAAGTTGCTTATGTTTATATATATGTATGTATATGTTTTTTAATCAACAAGTCTTCGATATTAATTTGAAAGTGCTTAAAAATTTTTCCTTTTGAAAATATTTTTTAATTTATATTTAGAGTGGGGAACAGAAATCACATAAAATCAGAGAGTTTGCCAGATATTTCAACCTTATCATCTGAACAATGAGTTGTGATGTGAAATTTGACATTAATTTTGTCCTTTTCGCGCTGCCATATGCAGCCAATATGTAATAACAGTTGATCAAGTGACAAAAGTGAGTAAAACTTCAACTCGAATATTTGACTTTTAAATTTTTGTTTGTTTTCTGACTTTGAGTTTTATATTTATGAGAATTTCACTCGATTAAATTTTAGTTTTCTTTCTGTGTGGATTTCATTTGTCATGTTTTAAAATAATTCTGATGGTTTCACAGTTTAAGCTTTTTATGTTACAAGCAACTTATGAAAAACTGAAATGTAAAATTAGATTTGAAACTAAAAGAATTTTGGCCGCACGGTGCTTCCACACAATAATCGCACTCTGTATTTTCATGTTTGCTTCAAATGTAAAGTGTTTTTTCTTCTGCTGTCCAAAGCACAAAAATATTGTTAGCAGATATACTGTCACTGTTTCTTAAATAGTTTTATGTATATTATATATATTTATCAGTATTGGTTGAGCTCTAAAACATCAAAAATATTGCTAATATTATTCTAATAAGCTGCTAAAGGCGAGGATTTGAGGCTCTTCTCAGATTCTTAGATTTTTTTTAAACTAAAATACAGAGTTTAACGTCTTCATGTGAAGCTGGGGGAGTTTGTGAGCATTTTAAAGCCTAACATAACGGAATCACTGTGTGTGTGTGTGTGTGTGTGTGTGTGTGTGTGTGTGTGTGTGTGTGTGTGTGTGTGTGTGTGTGTGTGTGTGTGTGTTGATGGCAGGTGAACCATGACTTTGTGTGGGGTGCAGGTAATGTTCAGCGGTGGATTCAGACAACATGGAGGCTTTTCCACAACATGGTGGTTTTGTGGCCTATGCGGTCTCAGCCCGCGTGTTTTCATTCCTGTGGCAGACAATACAGAAAAGTCTGGAAGGTTGCTATAGAAACTGCATCCACAGAGAGACACGCAGGGCCTCAGCTCGTCCACACAGCGGTGCTGTTGGATTGGAGAAACTGAGGTTGATTTCATAACGCTCACACAGTCTGCGTGGCAATAACAAGGAGCACGTGCTCGGAGTTTTCCCCACAGAAGCCTGATTGTTTGTTTCTGTTTGTTGTTGTTTGTTTGTTTTAGTAATAACGAACATTCTGATCAAACATGGTGTCAGGGACAGACTTTACATTTAGATTAACGGCTTTTTCCAACAAGCATCATCTGATCCACCCCGAGCTTTAACAGGTGTGTGTGTGTGTGTGTGTGTGTGTGTGTGTGTGTGTGTGTGTGTGTGTGTGTGTGTGTGTGTGTGTGTGTGTGTGTGTGTGTGTGTCACCAGCTCCACTACATAAACGTTAATAATCAAATGTCTGGATAAAGTGCTGCCACTGGCTCTTTCATCACTTCTAAGCTTATGTTTGTCCGCTCGTGGCGCGCGTGATGGAAGACGGTTTCGGGGGTAAACGTGGGTCCTCTCCGTGAGTCTTGGATGGCAGAAAAAAGGAGCTCTCCGGTGTGCAGTCACAGCAGAGCGCGTGATGCTGCGGCTCAGACGTCGGTGAGTTTGCCGCTGTGGGCTTTGTGCGGGCTGCAGTTGGTGTATTTAATGGAGTCCGCGTCCTCGCTGCCCAGAAACTCGGACTTGGACAGGCTCGACCTGCTGTCGCTCTTCCTGAATTCTCCGAAAGCCGGCTGTTGCTGTCCGCAGGTCACGTGCGTGTACTGGAACTGCTCCTCATGCTCCGTCTCCCGGTGGTAGAAGTAGTTGAAGTTGGACACGATGACGGGGACCGGCAGCGCGATGGTCAGCACGCCGGCGATAGCGCACAAAGAGCCCACGATCTTCCCCCCAATGGTGACCGGGCACATGTCCCCGTAGCCCACTGTCGTCATGGAGACCACAGCCCACCAGAACGCGTCCGGGATGCTGCTGAAGCCCGAGTGCGGGTCGTCGGTCTCCGCGAAGTACACAGCGCTGGAGAAGAGGATGACTCCGATGAAGAGGAAGAAGATAAGCAGTCCGAGCTCGCGCATGCTGGCCTGCAGCGTCTTCCCGAGAATCTGCAGTCCTTTGGAGTGTCTGGACAGTTTGAAGATGCGGAAAACCCGTACCAGGCGGATGACCCTGAGGATGGCCAGAGACATGGCCTGCTGGCCGTTCCCTTGGTGCTCCGCGAGCTCCAGTCCCAGCGTGATGAAGTAGGGCATGATGGCCACGATGTCGATGGTGTTCATGATGTTCTTGAAGAAGGCGGCCTTGCTGGGGCACGCGAGGAATCTAACCAGCAGCTCAAATGAAAACCAGATGATGCAAAGCGTCTCTACGATGAAGAACGGGTCCGTGAAAGGGTTCGGTTTCTTTGCGCGCACTGTTCCGTTCGCTGCCAGGTGCTCGTCAAACGTCCTGGCCTCCTCGCGGAACTCCGGTAACGTCTCCATGCAGAAGATCACGATGGAGATGAGAATGACCAGGACCGAGACGATGGCGATGCCCCTGGCGGGTCCGGAGCTCTCTGGGTACTCGAACAGGAGCCAGACCTGCCGCTGAAACTCGTTCTCGGGCAGCGGGCGCTCCTCCTCCTTAATGAAGCCCTCGTCATCCTTAAAATTCTCGATCACCTCCTCTCCAAGCTCGTAGAACTTGATCTCCTCCATGAAGATGTCCACCGGCACGTTGACGGGTCTCCGGAGCCGGCCCCCGGACTGGTAGTAGTAGAGGATGGCGTCGAAGCTGGGCCGGTTCCGGTCGAAGAAGTACTCGTTCCTCAGCGGGTCGAAGAAGCGCATCCTCTTCCGCGGGTCTCCCAGCAGCGTGGCGGGAAACTGCGCGAGCGTCTTCAGCTGCGTCTCGAAGCGCAGCCCGGAGATGTTGATGACCACGCGTTCGCAGCAGTCCTGGCTGTCCGCGCGCTCCGGCTCGCACGCGTCCTGTGCCGACAGCGCGGCCAGCGCTACGGTCTCGTCCAGGTTCTCCGCGGGCACCACCGTCATGATCCCCGCGCGCTCCTCGGGGCTTTCTGATCCTCCGCCGAGCCGCCGCGTGTCCTTCTGCGCCCCCCGCGCTCACCTGTCCGTCCGCGCGGCGCTGTGCTCTGGATTCAGCCGTCACACTCGCAGCATTTTAAGCAGACTTTGCCCTCCCCGAGCTGACGTGTGTGTGTGCACGCTCAGTCACGGAGGGGGAAACAAACACGCGCACATGCTGAACGCGAGAGGGGCACAGAGCTCCGGGAACACCGCAGAAATGCGGGATTCTGAGAGAGTTTGCGTGCGTAACGAACCTGTTGTGTCCTGCGCGGGCTCAAGGTTATCACAGGGGCTGCCGTGTATTCCTTGACGTGATGTCACGTTTGAAACAGCACGCATGCAGTCACAGCGAAGACGTGTGGAGACAAAGAGCGCGAGACTTTTCATGCAAAACGCTCAAATTTCAGGCAAAAAATCCGCTTTTTCATTCAGAATTTGCAGTCGAACGAATACCTGTGGATCCGTGATGCGTCCTCCTCCCGCCCTCTCACTTCTGTCAGGTGGCGTGAACGGGCAGACACAGACAGGCTCTGCAATGTCACGCTGCAGCCGCTCCACACAAACCCGCGCTGACGTTTCCACAGCAGCTCCCCCATCCACAAGTTGTGCACGACCTGCGAGTCTGTGCTGTGTGTGCATGAAACAACAATAAACAGGAAACAATAACAACAACAACAACAACAACAACAATAATTATTATTATAATGAGAGAGCAGTGACAGCATGGAAGGTAAACACTGCGTGTGCAACAAGTCCAGAGGAGGGGTGCATGTTTGTGTGTGTGTGGGGGGGGGATCAGGGAGAGTTTCTGGGCTGCAGCTCAAAGCAGTGACGTGTTTTCCTAAAATAGTTGGATTTCTCCCAGGGCCTCAGGAAAAGTTTCTTTTCCCATGGAATAGCCTGAGGGAGCTGCAGGGGAACATGAAAAAAGAGCTGACATGAAAAGGAAAGAGCAGATTTGCAGCAGAGATGAAGACACAGCACGTGAGTCCTTCAGAAATACAAACAGCAGCTGGGATGAAACCTGGACTAATTCTGACAGCAGGAGAAACACTACATGTCCCCTCACCCAGAAGTCTGCTCCCTTTTCTTATGCTGCCAAAATGTGAAAACTGTTTTTCCAAAGTGAAGTCACATGTAAAGGGTCAGACTCATGCAGAGAGGAAACACTCAGAACACCCCCCCCCCCCCCCCCCCAATAGGAAAAAATACTCCTGATTACATTTTCTTTGAGGACATTTCCTAAAGTGCTAAACATGTTCATACCGAGAATGATGTAGAGATGAAATTCAGATCCAGCTGCTTGGGGTTAATGAAGGAAAACTGTGCTTCCAGGGAATCTTGAAACTGACAATTTGACGTCATGTGATAAAGTATAAATAGCCTGGCCCTTCAGGCTCACTTATGTGATATCAACACATTTTATGCTTTTCTTGTTTAATTTTAATTGTTAAACTGTGAAAAGGTCACAGTGTGGAGCATCCTCTTGGGCATTAAATAGCCCACGAGCAGAAAAACAATCGCTACTGACCAAAAGGACTAAATGCCTCTGACGCCCGGCTCAGGTCAGCTCAGACTTGTTTAATGGGTTTAAAAATGCTCGTTTGCTAATAGTAAAATTCTTTATTTTTCCAAAATTGACAAAAAACAGTCTTTTAAACTCACATTCTCTAATGTGGGGGACTTCTCTGGTTATAAAGAAGATTATATTGAGGTTTTTAAGTTAATGAGCCTCCTGCTTACATCATTTCTGCCTAGTTCTGTGGAGAAAGAGTGACGACCACCTGCTGAAGTTCAAACTGAGCACAAGAACGATGAAGAGAGGTGATTTAAGTGACTTGGTTTCAGAAATTGCTGATCTGCTGGGATTTTCCCAGGCCAATAAGGCCACCAGCAGAAGATCACACCAGTGAGTAAGAACAGGAAACTGAGGCTATAATTCTCACAGACTAACAAAAAGCGACACTGTAAGATGGCAAAATGCTTACTGCTCTGACAAGTCTCGATGGTCAAGTCAGAGTTTGGTGTGAACAGCACGAATGCATGGATCCGATCCTTAGAGCATCACTGGTGCATGGTGGAATGGGAGGTTTTCATCGTTGCTATGTAGCTGACAAGTCTGGATCAACTGTACGATGGTATCATGTTAACATGGACCAAAGTCTCTGAGGAATATTTGCAGCACCCTGATGAATCTGAGCCATGAAGCATTAAAGCAGCTCTGAAGCAAAAAGGAGAACACTGTAATAGCAAGTACAGTGTTGGAGCAGGTAAACCAACATAAATATTTACACTAACTGCTTTTTTAGCATTTTAGTAGTGCATTATTAGCGATTTATTAGAGGCTAGTGTAAATATTTCTGTTTGGTTTCTCACCCTGTGGAAGCTGCACAAGGATCCTCTGCATTACAAAGTGCAGCTTGCTGGACTCACAAGGCCTTTTTGTTTTATGAAGCAGTGTTTCCAACATTAAATTCTTCTCCGTGCTTCCCCACATGCTCACCTCATTATTCAGGCCCTGATATTCTGACTCATACTGAAGTCCCGACTTCAGCTGCCTGCAGACGACCTCTTCAGTCTGACACTACCTCATTTCCTGTATCCTGTGAGCTCATTGGTGTGATACACTCACACACGCTCATACGCATAAGTCCTGGATTTCTTCTCTCCACATGTTACTGTGAGGATGTTTTAAACTCACTGTGCTTCTCCGCTGGATTCTCTGGCAGCTCATCAGGTTACTGCAGAACATCTGTCAGGCCACCAGCTCCAAAACACTCCAAAACACTCCTGAATGTCTGTGATGAGGTCATCCCACACAGTCACATGTCACGGTTACAGTCATGACATAATATCACATTAATTTGACAAATTTCCAACCCTTAGAGTTCAACTCAGGTGGTCAAGTTGTCCTGAGGAGCTTCAGATCAAGACAATCTCATCTTCTGCAAAGTTTTATTTATATTCTGGATGAAGAAAATGTTTTGGGATATAAAATAACTAAAAATCACGATAGTTCTGTTTAGCGCCCCCTGGTGTCTGGATGCTCTTAAACTATACGCTCCAAATATGCCATTTAGTCATTAATCTTATCCAAGAAACATTTTATTTGACTTTTATTTTAATTACTTGTGGAGAGGAAGTGTGAGAACTGAACAGTGTCAGAGATTCATTGTCCTCTTACTATTAACCCACATAGAGAAATTAGTTAAATTTTTGTCAACCTAATCATAAAAGTTAATTAATAATTCTTACGTAATTTTTGTCATTTTGTGAAGTCATTGAAGTTAAAGGGAATCATATCGGCTCAAACAACTGACATCAAAACTCTACTTTTCTGTCGAAACATAGACGCGATGAAGGTTAGCGAGAAAACCACAGCTCAGAGGTCAGAGCTTGAACCTGACTATCTATATTAGTTATTGGCTCAGTCATGTGGGTCTAGAGGCTGGCTGGTGACTCCCTGGCAACCACTGGCGTCTAGGGAAAGCTGTGTATTCCCACCTAGTTGGCAACTGGTTGCTGGCATTTGCTTGCAGTGACTGTGAAATCACTTGCTGTTATTGCTGCAGTTATGCAGATCTAGAGAGTAGTCAGTAACTCTTGTGATTAAAGCATCTGAACAAAATGGGTTAGGCCCCGAAAAGTGCGATGCAAACCAAAAATAGAAACTCTTTAACTTCAAAGTAAAAGTTGCACCTTTTTAACCAAATTGGTTACAACAGTAAGACATGACTTTTACTCTGAAGACGTTTCCAGTTTGCATCACACTTTTCCAGGTTTCACTATCACTCCACAAGAAGTTGGTTAGAAAAGGTTAGCTGGTAGAAAGGTTACCATCTGCCATGTAAACTATGGGTGACTGCAGTAATCTGCTACCAACTAACGCAGAAACAAGAAGGTTTTAGGAGTTGCACCCTCTTTGTGACCACACGTGTACCTGGCGCCAGACATTAACCACTTGCCAAATATTTGGGGACCACACATTTTTCCATAGTGGCCAGAGGTTGCCAGGAGCCACTGTCCAGTCCCTAGGTGTGACCTTAGCGGGCCATCATCGAAACATTTGAGATACTTACTTTTCGGACGTTTTTACCACGACAGTTTTCTAAGTCTGAGAAGAGGAGCTCTTGCTGCACGACTCCACTCCTGACCACCTTGGCATGTTTTCCACTATTTGTTAGTTATGAATGGGTCGCTGCAAGCTGACATGCAAATACCACTGAGATTTACTGAGCTCATTAGCGCTGACCAGCTCAGCTCCAGCACCCTCTTTGAATGACCACAGAGCGTACAGAGGATTTTTTTTCCCACCCTCAAATTCTTTAGACTGTCACTTTAATGGATGTTGGTGGACGTAAATTCTGAACTCTGCAGTTCTGGATCACTTACGGAGTCTGACATGAAATATGGCAGAAGTCCTCGAGGATGGTGGGCCTCGGAGAGCAGAAACATGTATACTTTGAAACGCTCCAGGAGCATGACAGCTTTTTTAAGATACTATCATCTATGTGAGAGGGAAGTTCTCAGATACTTCACTTCAGTGGAATATGAAAAAATATTATATTTAAAGTAAAAAAAAACAAAACAAAAACAGAACAATGCTAACATTAATGCAGGGCTGTATTTGAATGTTGTAGCTGATCCAGGAACAGCTTGTTGGAATTAACTTCAAGCTGTTAGAGTCCTAAAAATGAACTTCAGGTTACCTCCAAAGGGTCAGGGCATAAGTCTGACAGCTCGCAGCGATTCCACATCTTCAAATGTGGCTTTCTGTCAGATGTCATTGCCAACATTCAATTCAATTCAGTTTCATTTATATGGCTCCAAATCACAACAGCGAATACCTCAAGGTGTTTTATATTGTAAGGTAAAGACCTACTATAACACAGAAAAAACTCTAACAATCAGATGGCCCCTATTATCTAGCACTTGGCAACAATGGGAAAGAAGAACTCAGTTTTAACAGGAAGGAACTAGGCTCCGGGAGAACCAGGCTCTGGGAGGGGTGGCCATCTGATGCCATCTGATGCCACCGCTTATGTGCGATTTTATGACAGCAGTTAATCATCATCAGTCTTACCCAGAAATATTTTCTCCTCCTTCAACGTTGGCTCCTGGAGCTGAAGCTTTATTTTCTGTATGAAGCTGATGATTATAAAACAGTCTGATGTGTCCGTGACTTCAGTGTCAGAAGGAGGTGGGGCTTTTTGGACACTCGTGTGATCTTGAGCGATCGTGGCTCAAGAGTTGGGAGTTCGCCTTGTAATCGGAAGGTTGCCGGTTTGAGCCCCAGCTTGGACAGTCTCGGTCGTTGTGTCCTTGGGCAAGACACTTCACCCGTTGCCTACTGGTGGTGGTCAGAGGGCCCGGTGGCGCCAGTGTCCGGCACCCTCGCCTCTGTCAGTGCGCCCCAGGGTGGCTGTGGCTACAATGTAGGTTGCCATCACCAGTGTGTGAATGGGTGGATGACTGGTTGTGTAAAGTGCTTTGGGGTCCTTAGGGACTAGTAAATACAGGCCATTTACCATCTTTTGATGCAAATGTTCAAGACCCTAAAATGAGAGCAAACTGTTCAGCTGTTGTTCTAGTGTTGAGTGAACTTCATGGGATCTTGTGTTAAAGTTTTAAAGTCTTGCTTTTCATTGAGCTTCATTTGTTATTTCTTTTTAGTTCCTTCACTCTTTCTTTGTCTCAAATCTTCATTTGTGTTTGACTTGAAGGGGTTTTTTTTTGTCTTGCAGTAGTTTGACA